CGGGCCATTCGCGGGCAAGGCTACCAACCAGCAAGGATGGATTCGCGGGCAAGGCCCAAAATCCTACCAACCTTATTGGATTCGCGCAAGGCTAGGGCTTAGGGTTTAGGGCTTAGGGTTTAGGGCCTAGGGTTTGGGCTTTAGGGTTTAGGGCCTAGGGTTTAGGGCCTGGGCTTTAGGGTTTAGGGCCTAGGGTTTGGGCTTTAGGGCTTAGGGCCTAGGGTTTGGGCTCTAGGGTTTAGGGCCTAGGGTTTGGGCTTTAGGGTTTAGGGCCTTGGTTTTGGGCTTTAGGGTTTAGGGCCTAGGGTTTGGGCTTTAGGGTTTAGGGCCTAGGGTTTGGGCTTTAAGGTTTAGGGCTTAGGGTTTGGCCTTTAGGGTTTAGGGCCTAGGGTTTGGGTTCTAGGGTTTAGGGCCTAGGGTTTGGGCTTTAGGGTTTAGGGTTCAGCAGCTCTGGTCGAGCAGTATCTAGTCAAGTTCGCTAGTAAGAACCTGGAAGAATACCCACCCACCCAAAGAATCCCAATACATAAGAGTTAGAAAAAAATTTTCGTTACCCTCAGACGACATCAAACCTCAAACCCTACGCCTTGATTTCTAGCATATACTTATGTTTCTATTGCTGCAGTACAGAAAGAAGCATGACACATTTCAGGCCGGAAATGTGTCATTTTTTCCGCCTTGCAGAGTGTCATCGTTTCCGCCTTACAGAAAGAAACATGACACATTTCAAGCCGGAAATGTGTCATCTTTTCCGCCTTACAGAAAAAAGCATGACACATTTCAGGCCGGATATGTGTCATCTTTTCTGCCTTACAGAAAGAAGCATGACACACTAAAGCCCAAACCCTAGGCCCTAAACCCTAAAGCCCAAACCCTAGGCCTTAAACTTAAAGCCCAAACCCTAGGTCCTAAACCCTAAAGCCCAAACAAACCCTAGGCCTTAAACCCTAAAAGCCAAATCCTAGGCCCTAAACCCTAAAGCCCAAGCGCTAAACCCTAACCCTAAAGCCCTAGGCCCTAAAGCCTAAAGCCCAAAACCCTAGGCCCTAAACTCTAAAGCCCAAACCCTAGGCCCTAAACCCTAAAGCCCAAACCCTAGGCCTAGGCCCTAAACCCTAAAGCCCAAACCCTAGGCCTAGGCCCTAAACCCTAAAGGCCAAACCCTAGGCCCTAAACCCTAAAGCCCAAACCCTAGGCCCTAAACCCTAAAGCCCAAACCCTAGGCCCTAAACCCTAAAGCCCAAGCGCTAAACCCTAAACCTCAAAGTCCTAGGCCCTAAACCCTATAGCCCAAACCCTAGGCCCTAAACCCTAAAGGCCAAACCCTAGGCCCTAAACCCTAAAGCCCAAACCCTAGGCCCTAAACCCTAAAGCCCAAACCCTGGGGTCCTGACGAAAACCTGGTGCAACACTGGTGGGACCAGTCTTGCACCAGGTTTCCGTTGACGGAAACCTGGCTCAACACTGGGGGGTCCTGACGGAAACCTGGTGCAACACTGGTGGGACCAGTGTTGCACCAGGTTTCCGTTGACGGAAACCTGGCTCAACACTGGTGGCTCCTGACGGAAACCTGGTGCAACACTGGGGGTCCTGACGGAAACCTGGTGCAACACTGGTGGGACCAGTGTTGCACCAGGTTTCCGTTGACGGAAACCTGGTGCAACACTGGGGGTCCTGACGGAAACCTGGCTCAACACTGGGGGGTCCTGACGGAAACCTGGTGCAACACTGGTGGGACCAGTGTTGCACCAGGTTTCCGTTGACGGAAACCTGGCTCAACACTGGTGGCTCCTGACGGAAACCTGGTGCAACACTGGTGGGACCAGTGTTGCACCAGGTTTCCGTTGACGGAAACCTGGTGCAACACTGGGGGTCCTGACGGAAACCTGGTGCAACACTGGTGGGACCAGTGTTGCACCAGGTTTCCGTTGACGGAAACCTGGTGCAACACTGGGGGGTCCTGACGGAAACCTGGTGCAACACTGGTGGGACCAGTGTTGAGCCAGGTTTCCGTCAACGGAAACCTGGTGCAACACTGGGGGGTCCGTGACGGAAAAATGGCTCAACATTTAGATACTCATTTGAAAGAGAGGGTTTAGGGCCTAGTTTGACAAGCTAAGTTGTAGGTAGAACTCTCTGAATGATGATGAAAGAACTTTATATTGCTTAATGTTATGGGATTCTAAGGGTGGGTGGGTGTTCTTTCTAGACCGCAGACTCTACTTTACTGTAAAACTGCTCGATCCGGAGCTGCTGAACCCTAAACCCTAAACCCTAAACCCTAAAAACCTAAACCCTAAACCCTAAAAACCTAAACCCTAAACCCTAAAAACCTAAACCCTAAACCGTGAAGCAAAAAGTTGATGGAGGGCTCTTTTGGCTCGACTTCGGGGCTCCGGGGCCAGGCCTTCGGTGTTTAGGGCTGGGGTTTGATACGGTTTAGGGTTTAGGGTTTAGGTTTTTAGGGTTTAGGGTTTAGGTTTTTAGGTTTTTAGGGTTTAGGTTTTTAGGGTTTAGGGTTTAGGTTTTTAGGGTTTAGGTTTTTAGGGTTTAGGGTTTAGGCTTTTAGGGTTTAGGGTTTAGGTTTTTAGGGTTTAGGGTTTAGGTTTTTAGGGTTTAGGGTTTAGGGTTTAGGGTTCAGCAGCTCTGGGTCGAGCAGTTTCTAGTCAAGCTTACATTTCTGGACTTAGACAAAAACCCACCCGCCCAAAGAATCCCCTAACATTAAGAAAATACAGAGTATTTTTTTTTCACAGCTTGTACTCCTCATCACCGTTGGTCAGCACTTCACTAGTAGCGTTAACTTTGCTCGCCGATCACCGAAGCATGGTTGAACTGAAAAACTTGCCCAGTTCGGCGGTGCTCGTCGATCACCGAAACATGGTCGAATCGAAAACTTGCCGAAGTTGCCGGAAGTAAAAGGAATTGTTGGTTAAACCCTAAATATCTCATGGTGTTAACACCGTTGCTTGCTTGTTGTAAGCTTTTTTAAGTTGCTGCTGTCGGTAAACCTTAAAATTGCTATGGTGTCAACACCGTTGCTTGCTTGTTTCAAGTAAATCAATTCCAAAAATCTTTTACGGTGGCTTCTGCTATGTGAACGAGGACACATAAATTGAAGGAAAGAAACCCATGATTGCTGTCGTCGGACGGCAAGGTCACTGGCTAGTGGTTGAACGGTCATCGCAAAGAAACTTGTGAGGAGATTCAAGGCATGACATGCAACAGCTCTGCTTGCTGTCGTAAAGCGATGGCGTGACCGCAGCTTCAACTGTTGTGGGTAGTGCTTGTATAAAGCAAGTAAAACATTGAAGCGATGCTGTTGCTAAACCTTAAAATTCCTATGGTGTCAACACCGTTGCTTGGTTGTTTCAAGTACAGCAGGTAAAGGATTGAAATTGTTGCTGTCGTTAAACCCTAAATTTCCTATGGTGTCAACACCGTTGCTTGCTTGTTGTAAGCAAGACAATCAGAAGACTAAAGTTGCTGCTGTCGCTAAACCCTAAATTTGCTATGGTGTCAACACCGTTGCTTACTTGTCAGAAACCCCACCTACAGGGTTGGTCGAAAAGACCAAAATCGCCTACAGGGTTGGTCGAAAATCCCCGACAGGGTTCGTCGAAAAGGCCAAAATCCCCTACAGGGTTGGTCGAAAAGGCCAAAATCGCTTACAGGGTTGGTCGAAAAGGCCAAAATCCTCGACAGGGTTGGTCGGAAAAGGCCAAAATCCCCTACAGGGTTGGTCGAAAAGGCCAAAATCCCCTACAGGGTTGGTCGAAAAGGCCAAAATCGCCTACAGGGTTGGTCGAAAAGGCCAAAATCCTCGACAGGGTTGGTCGGAAAAGGCCAAAATCCCCTACAGGGTTGGTCGGAAAAGGCCAAAATCCCCTACAGGGTTGGTCGAAAAGGCCAAAATCGCCTACAGGGTTGGTCGAAAAGGCCAAAATCGGCTACAGGGTTGGTCGGAAAAGGCCAAAATCCCCTACAGGGTTGGTCAGAAAAGGCCAAAATCCCCTACAGGGTTGGTCGAAAAGGCCAAAATCGGCTACAGGGTTGGTCGAAAAGGCCAAAATCGGCTACAGGGTTGGTCGGAAAAGGCCAAAATCCCCTACAGGGTTGGTCAGAAAAGGCCAAAATCCCCTACAGGGTTGGTCGAAAAGGCCAAAATCGGCTACAGGGTTGGTCGGAGAAGGCCAAAATCGGCTACAGGGTTGGTCAGAAAAGGCCAAAATCCCCGACAGGGTTGGTCGGAAAAGGCCAAAATCCCCGACAGGGTTGCTCGAAAAGGCCAAAATCGGCTACAGGGTTGGTCCCGAAAAGGCCAAAATCCCTTACAGGGTTTAAATATACATATGAAAGAGAGGATTTAGGTTTTTAGGGTTTAAGGTTTAGGTTTTTAGGGTTTAGGGTTTAGGTTTTTAGGGTTTAGGGTTTAGGGTTTAGGGTTTAGGTTTTTAGGGTTTAGGGTTTAGGTTTTTAGGGTTTAGGGTTTAGGGTTTAGGTTTTTAGGGTTTAGGGTTTAGGGTTTAGGGTTTAGGTTTTTAGGGTTTAGGGTTTAGGGTTTAGGGTTTAGGTTTTTAGGGTTTAGGGTTTAGGGTTTACGGTCTGCATGACCCCAAGGACCCTAAATTATTGTAGGTATGGTCTATTCCTTCTTATGGGTAGTGCAGGATTTTGTCCACCACCAGTACCATAAACGGTTTCGAGAGCGTCGCGTGGGACGGTCGCTTCATCTCGACATCCATGCGCAAGCTTTAGGACGGGGGGGGGGGTGCTGCTTAGGGCCTTTACTGCTTAGGGTTTGGGGTTTAGGGGTGATGTTAACTTACCAGAAAGGCTCTTGTGTAACGAGCTTGATTAAGCTACCATTTCCAAGGAAAGCCCATTATTCTTTGCAACAAAAGCCATTGTTGGAGTGCGGGGCGTGAGATGAGGTTCTAGGGTTTGCGGTTTCGGGTTTATAGATTCGGGAGTGAGTCTTTCAACCCTCTGAACCGCGCCTGCCGCCCGTGTCCTTGAAGTCCTTCCCGCCCCACCACTCGATGCTGACGAAGCCGATGCCCTCTGGGGGACGGCTGGGTTTGCTTTTCTCTGGGAGTGCAGGGTGTGATATAGGGACCTCAATCATTCGCATATGGGTATATCATACTCAGATCATGGACTACGAGGGGACACTCGTCCAGCCCCGATGTTGAGGAGGATGGCCCAGCGTCGGATTTAAGGCTCTTAGGTGTGGGGGTCGAGGTTTAGGGTGTAGGGTTGGGGTTAGGGTTTAGGGTCTAGGGCTTAAGGCTTAAGCCAACACCCTAAACCCTGAACTCCAAACTCTGAACCCTAAACCCCAAACTCTGAATCCTAAACCCCAAACCCTAAACCCCAAACTCTGAGTCCTAAACCCTGAACATCCTAAACCCTGAACCCTCAAACCCAAACCCTGAAGAGTAAAAGCATAAACCCGTCCGCCTGCAGCTGGAGAGCCAGAGCCTGCTCACGGGGGCAAGCGGCAGAGACACCAAAATAGAGCTCTACCATGGAAGCTTAGGGCTTTAGGGTTTCGGGTTTAGGGTTTAGGGCTTTAGGGCTTTAGGGTTATGCTTTAGGGCTTAGGGCTTTAGGGTCTCTAGGGTTTGGGGTTTAGGGTTGGGTACTACCAAAACAACCCGACATGATTTAGGGCTTGCGGTTAAAGGCTTAGGCTACAGGACCTGGGGCAAAGGGTTTAAGGCTTCATGCATTAATGTTTTCGGGTCAGTGACGTTGAATGCTTCAGCTTGCTTAGAGGATCGAGAGATAGTGGGTCGGGTTGTAAACCAGGTAGCTTTAGTTATTTCTACTCATAACCCTATTCAGCTAAGGTAGCTATCGCCCGTCTTACTAAGCCCCCTGAACCTTTAAGAGGGGTTTAAGTGTTCAGGGCATAGGGTGTGATTGTAGCAGAGATGATCAGGGACTCCGAATTTATAGATTCCTCCCTGCAACGACTCCTAAACAACGTGCCCACTACTTGGGCCTTGACTGCTAGAATAGGGCCTTGCGGTATATCGCCGACGTAGTATCCTCCGATGGTCAGGCCTAAACTCCAAAACCCCTAACCGAACCCTAAATCCTTAAATTCCAACACCAAACCTCTAAACCCCCAAACCCTACATCCCCAAACCCTCAAGCCTTCAACCCTAACATCAAGATCCCTAGAGCCTGCAAACCCCTAAACCCCTTTACCCCGAAACCCCAAAGCCTCTACACCCCTAAACCCCCCCCAAACCGCCAAAGCCCTGAACCCCAATCCGCCAAATCCTAAACCCTAAACCCCTGAACCATAAACCCTACCTAAACTCCTATACCCTAAACCCTAAACCCCTAAACCTCTAAACCCTACACCCTAAACCCCAAACCCTAAACCCTACCCAAACTCACGCCCTAAACTTTAAAACCCTAAACCCTACAGTCTAAACCCTAAACTCCTACACCCTGAACCCTAAACCTCTAAACCCTACACCCCTAAACCTCTAAACCCCTAAACCCTACTACCCTAAACACGGCTTCGGGGGTCCCCAAGCGGCCTGGGCCACTAGAGAGCTGAAGCGTCGGCCGCCCGGCAGCACACCCTCCCAGACCTCGGGGGCTCGAGGGACGCCCAGGGTTTAGGGCTTAGGGGGTTTTAGGGTTTAGGGGGTTTGGGGTTTAGGGTTCAAGATGGTTTAGGGTTTAGGGTTTAGGGCTTAGGGTTTAAGGTTCGAGGAGGGTTTAGGGCTTAGGGGGTTTAGGGCTTTGGGGGGTTTTAGGGCTTGGGGGGTTTTAGGGTTTTAGGAGGGTTTAGGGCTTAGGGGGTTTAGGGTTTCAGGAGGGTTTAGCGTTCAGGATGGTTTAGGGCTTAAGGGCTGAAGCTTTAGGGCGCGAGCTTTGGGGCACAGGGTCCATGGGTTTAGCGTTCGGGGCTTCGGGTTTCGGGCCTGACACCCCGAAGTTCCTTTCAGTTAAATTCCTGAGCAGTCAGAATTGGGGCCTGTGGAATTTCGCGCTGAGAAGAACCACAAGGAATAGTTTAGTACGCATCTATATATAATCCCTTAACCCTAAACCCTAAACCCAAACCGCTACATATATATATATATATACATATTAAGGGGCCTGATCACAAGAATAAGGCTCTGGGCCTGTACGCTGTGTGCAGAAGGAATGCCAAACTCTTCCAGTGCTTCCTCATTGCTGGGCGTCCTTGAAAGGCAAAAGACACGGAATGTCTCCAATGCTGAATCTGCGAATATCTGCGAACAGCAACTGCAAGGGACCTGGAGATCTGCCCCTTTGCCTGTCCACAGAGGGCTCCACACTTCGGATGCAATACCAGGTTCCTTCCAGAGCGATGATCCTCGCTCTAGAGGCAAGTTGTTCTGATCTTTCTACACTCCTCTTCATCTCCCTCTTCAATCAACTTCTTCAATAGGTGGGATATGCAAGTATTCCCTGTCCGCGACACGTAGAGAAGGCCTCTAGGAGGCACCGACAAGGCGCAGCAGACGCGCTGGAAGAGAATTTCGTGATTTCGCTCTCGAGGTCGAGGAAGCTGGCCGACTTGGTACTCCGGATAATCAACCGTCCCGAAGATTCCTTCAAAAACATCCTTCTACCCTCCCCGCCCTGGAGCAACCTGTCTTAAGGATACTGTAAGGCACCCAAGAGACTCCCTAACCTTAGATCTAAAGCATCGGCGCCCAAGCCCGCATCCACAAAGTAAGTCCGGCAACAGTGTCAAAGGTTCAGGGTGTAGGGTTTGGGGTTTACGAGAGTTTAGGGTTTAGGGTTTAGGAGGAAAGTCTAGGGTTCAGGAGGATTTTAGGGTTTAGGGTTTAGGAGAGTTAATGCTTAGGGTTTAGGCACGGTTTTAGGTTCCAGCAGTCCCCAAATGCCCAAAGCCCAAAACTCATCACTGAAACCTAAACCCTTCTTGGAGGGTCGGGGGTAGTAAGTAGACTTATAAGTACCCTAAAAGGGACCCTAATTGGGGTTATGGTACTTATAAGTCCCGAGAATAACCAGTTACTAAGTGCCCCGACCCTCCAAGCTCAGCCCCAAACCCCGACAGTGCGCACCCTGAGTCGTAAAGAACCAAAAGCCCTACGGCCCTACGTGCCTGAGCCCGAACCCTCAAAACCCTCGAGGGCTAACCCTTATAAAACCCGAAACCCTAAACCCTGAAACCTAAAGCCCTCCAAAACCTACGCCCCTTAGCAGGCCACGCAGACGTTCTGGCCAAGATTGGCCTCATCGATGCAGTTCCTGTCATCTCTGAGTGTCGCTGTTGGTTCAGAGCTTGGGATTTGGGCTGAATTTAGCCCAAACCCTAAACCTGAAACCTTTACCCCTAAACCTTAAACCCTAAACCCTAAACCTTAAACCTTGAACCCTAAACCCTGCTTAGAAGTCTCAATAACTAGAATAGTGAATAGGGTTCCTGAAGGGCTCCTTCCCCAAGATGCCTTTTTCAAGGCGGCGAGCTAGAGAAGGTTGAGAAGCCCCCTAACCTTAGGGTTTAAGGGTTAGGGTTTAGGGTTTAGGGTTTAGGGTTTTGGGTTTAGGGTTTAGGGTTTAGAATTTTGGGGTTTAGGGCTTAGAATTTAGGCAACATCTAGCTAAGTCCCTGAATCATGACAGGGCTCCTCAGCAAGGGATCCTTGTAGGGGTAGACCGTCGACCCAGAGACTCCAATATCCCTAAATTAAGGAAACTACTTGAACTTATAGTAGGATCCTTAAAATGATGAAAAAAAAGGTAGTCATTAATTTAAAGGATAGTGGAGTCTCTGGGGTATGTAGTTTCTACACGTGCCCATCGGGTCTCACCATAGATTATAGGGTCTCGGGTTTAGGGCGCGCCTTAGCCGGGGATCCTTATGTCTAGGGTCTTGGGTTTAGGGTATCGGAGTCAACGAATCAAGCTTTACAAACCAATGGACTTCCGCAGGAAAGCCTACAAGAACAAGGTGTTGGCAGTAGGGCGCAGGTTGGAGTACAGTGTCCGAATATAGTCCCTATCTAGTTGCGGTATGTACCCCTATTCAGCCATGCCCTGACCTAATTCCTATCCGGCCCTCTCTACTTGGAGGGTCGGGCGACTTAGTAAGTAGGTAGTAAGTAGACTATAAGTACCCTGAAAGGGACCCTAATTGGGGTCATGGTACTTACAAGTCCCTAAAATAACCAGTTACTAAGTCCCCCGACCCTCCAAGTAGGAGGCTTTTCAGGCTCTACAGGCTTGGGGGGGCGTTCTGCTTGGAGGTTCATGGGTAGTTATAAGTTGGTCTTATAATAAGTAGGGTAATTATACTTATAACCCATATTGGGGGGGACTTATAATCCCACTTATAACTACCCATGAACCTCCAAGTGGGGCCACCCTGGGTTTGGGTAGAACTCGAAAATTTCGTCCCGCTTTCTCGGCCCCCCGAGGTTTGAGGGGGGGTATCCTAAACACACCCTAAATTCTACAAAACCCGAAACCCTGAAGCCTTAACCCTGAACCTTGAACTCTGAGGCCTACACTCTAAACCCTAGACCCTGAACCCTAAAAATCTCAAAATCCCAAAATACGTAATTACCCTTAATGGAGTTACCCTAACTGTAACCCTACTTATAACCTACTTACTAAGTCCCCTGGGCCTCCAACTATCCTAAACCCCAGGTCCTTTGGGGTCGAAGGTTCAGCGTTTTTCTGGGAGGGCTTCGGGCTAGGAGCTCCTAGAATTGTAAGGTTAGGGTTTACCTATAGTCTCCATTGTAGTTCTTTTTTTTGGCGAACCCAAAAACTCTATTATGGAAGGATCCTAACCATAAGACTTGTTAACCAAAAAAAGGAACTACAATGGAGACTATGGGTAGGGCTGAAAGCAAAATCACTCCAGGCTCTTCGTGCAAAGTTCTGCGGTTCGAGGCGAACTCGATTCCTCAAGCCTAAAGCCCGTGCGGTTCAGGGTTCAAGGGTTTATAATGCAGTCTACATATATATATATATATACATATGTAAGGTTTATGATCTATGGGTTTATGGGATGTTCCCCTAACTTGCGCACTCGTCGCTTTTGAGATTCCGCACGCTCCTAAGCACGAGGCACCACACATGGCAGCAATTTGTGCCATGGTGCTACGGTTCAGGGATTCCAGGCGCGGCAAGTAATCGAATTTTCAGAGATCCCTTCAAACTTGGATCCCCAACAATGAAGAAAGTCCTGAAAAAGTCCTAAAACTTTTGCTACAAGGTGAAACAAAGCCTGGCATCCATATCCTGACAGCAAGGAGTCGCGTAGTTTCCGGGGCTGGACGGGTTGTAGAAGGTTGGACTTTCGCTGCCTCGGCCTGAAAGTTCTTCAGGGTTTAGGGTTTCGGGTTTGGGGTGCAAGACAACTTGCTGCCGAACTCCTTCAGAAGGACGCAGGCCAAAAAAATTGACGACAATTCTTCGCTTCATGTTCTGATGGCCCTGATTGGAGCGTTCAACGCAGCAGTCCAGCAGCGAAGGAAAAGAACAAATGCGATTCGGTGGCACTACAACGACACTCCCATAGTAGCAATCTGAAGACACATCCAGAACATCACTTCGATCACCATCAAGACCATATCTGCTTCTGCGTTAACACCATGATCATCTTGATCTACCACCACAACATCGGTAGCAAAAGCATCGCAACAAACGAATACCATCATCATCTTGCCAAAGGTATCAGCACCACACAACCACACTACCATCATCACCGTCACCCACATCATCGCCATCACCTCCAGCAAAGGCAGCAGCGCGGGGCCCCTTCCGAAAATATGGGAGCCATTCATAGGTCCACAATAGTGGGGTGCTGCTTATATGTACCCCTGTCAAGGCCCTTACTTTTACAAAGGTCCCATACTTCAGAGTCATCATCGGGAAACGGCGGTTCATCTGTCAAGCTCCGAAGAGTGAAGGTGGTGGTCAGAGTAGTAGGCAACACAGGTTTCTCGGAAAGACTGTCAACTTTGCTGGAAAGCCTGCGGCCCAACTAGGCTTCCTGCCATAAACCCTGAACCCTAACCTTACACGACTGATACACACTACACCCCCCGCATGAAGGCCGTCAAAGGCAGGTTACACGCCGAGTGCTTTGGGAACTATCAGGGCTTGGCCTCTCGATCAAGCCGCTAGCCGTTTACTAGGGTAAACCCTAAACCCTAAACCCGGCGCTCAACCGATACTTCGTCTAACGGCTCGGCGCGCTCAATGCAGGATCCTGATTAGGAAACCTTGGGCCTTTATTAGGGTTCCTTGTATGAAGCTTACTATCTTGGGGTTATCATATAGGCCCAGGGTTTCTAAGTTAGGTCCCTCCACTACTGAAGCGTGCATAAACAAAACCCTAAACACCCAAACCCTCAGTTCTAAGCCCCAAATTGGCTCCTACAGAACTGCAGCACCCACACGGCAGATGCTGTGTTGCGACGCGCACCGTGGGTAGTTCTTTGTTTCAAGGGTTTGTCGAGGTCCCAAAACTAGTGCGGCACCCCCATAAAGAAGGACCAGGAAAGGGAACCCACTTGAAAGAACTCTAAACACTAAACCCCTAAACTGGAACTCTGAATCCTAAACTACAGTAAACCCCAAAAAGTTGGAAACCGGATTAAGGCCAAATAGTGCTAGGGTTCCCTACATATTACTCTTAAGGATTGAGGCTACAGGGTTTCCAACTTTTGGGCTTCTACTGTATCCTCTTACCAAGGACATCGAGTCGCCTCAGAACACGAGTTCCCACAAACTGGCAAGTGCGATTGATGACAGCCCGAGCCCCTGCAAAGGGTTTAGGATTTAGGGTTTAGGGTTAAACAAACTAAGTAAACCCTAAACTCCTAAACCCTAAACCCTAACCTCCTCAACCCTAAACCTTAAACCCTAAACCCTAGCCGTAACCCGAATTATCAAGGGGCAGACTGCTTGCAATCTCGGTACATGCCGGAAACCTCCGAAGGGGCTCAAGGAGTCATGAGAAACGGTTTCCCGAAGGCTTTTTTCGAGATTTCTCGCTGTCCTTCAAGATTTCACCTTGAAGGCTATGTGATAGCCTTTTGGAGTAGCTCCAGATGACGAAGGACCCTAAAAGGGATCCTACCTGTAGTCTCTATTGTAGTTCCTTTTGAGGTTACCTTATAGGATCCTAATTATATGTTTGGTTAGACGGTTAGACCAAAAAAAGGAACTACAATGGAGACTATAGGTACTTTGGGGCAGCCCCATGTGAGACTCGTTGCATCGCGGAAGCGGTCAGCCACTGCCGGGGATGCCTCTGCTCACGCGAGGGCTTGGGGGTTTGCCTGGTGGTTTACTTGGAGGTTCATGGATAGATATAAGTGGGGTTATAAGTCCCCTAATATGGATTATAAGTATAGTAACCTTGCTAACTCGACTTATAACTACCCATGAACCTTCAAGTAGGGTGTTAGGGCTTGCGGGTCTTGAGGGTTTGGATTTAAGTCTTTGTTGATGCTTAGGGTTTCAGGCTTTAGGGCTTCAAGGCATGTTGTCTGGGGCTGTGGTGTTGGTCAGTCAGGGCAACTACAGTGAACTTCAGAAAGTTAGACACTGGCATAATGATCATCCGTCCGTGCTGGGGTTCCATGAATGCACCCTGAACTTTTTGATGATATTGATGTTCAGACTTTCTGGCACGCAGGGCTGAGCGCGTCATTTTCGTGGATTTGGCAGAAGCTCCGTCGAGTTCGCGGTTCATCGAAGGCACTTCGGTGTTCATACAGGCTCGTGTGAACTGGAGTCGGCCGAAGTCAGGCGTTGTCAACGAACTTGATTGAGATTGAATTGAAACTGAGCTTTCAGCCGGATACTCATCGTTTGGATTCTTTGCCATGCCTCGGGATTCTCTATTATAAGTACCCACAATTACCAAGACAATACACCCCGAAGTGTAGCCGGTGCTAACCACGGCTTTGTACTCAGGATTTCTGAAAGCTGGAGGTTGTTGAAGTGGCTGCTATCGTACATTCAGCTGGATTGGTTTGGGTTTGGGAGGCTTGGGCAGCCATGGGCTAACGACTGAAGAAACACTGGAGAGTTGAGACGCGGCACTGTGAACCCGAAGATAGGCCTTGTGCACAAATTTCCTTGCGAAGCGTAAGCCAAAGATGCTCTACTAACTCTAATCCCCTCGAACCTAAGCCACCGACTTCCTTGTATGACGGGATACTGTTGATGCTATAAATCCTGCATTGCCCATACTAAGGAATCTGCCATAATTCCCGTAGCTTAGGGCCCTTAAGGTAATGCAGGACTTATATCATCAACCGTAGCTTGCTTACCCAGCTGCGCTCCCAGGACATGAGTAACTCCAGCAAGTCCTCGTGGCGAGTTGCAGGCGCGTGGGCCACAAGAATTAGAATAGGGTTCCTTTCAAGGGGTCTGTAAGGGCTATAAGGGATCCATAAGGGTACAATAATATAGGGGCCAAAATCATTAGAATAGGGTGTTGGGGCCCATTATACCATAAACATAATAAGGAACCACCAAAATAGTTTAGGTAGTTGTTGAGGCCCCTATACCCCTGACCCTACGAAGCTTTTATGCAAAGGGTCCAAGTACCATTCTAGTAGGTACTTAGTACCCTAAAGTATGTACTACCCAAGGACTCCAATATCCCTTAAATTAGGGAATATACCTTAAATCGTATTAGGATTTATGGCATATTCCTTAATTGAGGGATTTTGGAGCCTCTGGGTATACAGCTACTTGGACCGTTTGGGTTACCCATCTTAGACGCCAGATCGACGAAACCTTAATCCTAAAGCGCAACCCCTGAGCTCCCAAGCCCAAAACGCGGTGGTTCCTGGGAGTCTGAACTCTTTAGAGGTCACCCAGAGACTCCAAAATCCTTCAACTAAGGAATATCCCCCAATTTCTACTAGGAACCCTAATTGTGGTTTAAGGTATATTCCTTAACGAAGGGGTTTCGGGGTCTCTTGGTAGGGGGCCTCAGAATCCGGCTCCTTCCCTGAAATTCTACAAAACCCTGGCCCAATGCTCAAGGTCTGGGCTTTTTGAAATTGGGGCTTAGGGTGTCGGGTTTAGGGTTTAGGCTTTACGGTTTTGGGTTTCAGCTCAAGGGCTTTGGGTTTGGAGTTTAGGGTTTTAGGGCTTACAGCCCGCAGTGCTTGGAGGACGACAGCTGTACGGCTTGAAATTTAAAGCCGTCTGATAAATCATTTCGGGTCGAGGAAGAGGGTTTCAGTCGTTTTGCTCTCTGGGGGTTGGGGGCAATCAGATGGCCTTCTAACTCGCAAGCACAGCGAAGCCTGCCTCGATTGTGGCAGTGTGGGCCACCACCGCCCTGCTTGCAGCTGCTCGCTTCGGGCTTAGGGTTTATGGTTTAGGATGCGGGGGCGCAAGTGCCGCAAGTCGAAATTGGAGTTTCCGAAAATGGGGGTACCTTATTCTGGGGTCCTTATAATAAGGATCCTACTATTTGGGGTACTATATTGGGGTCCCCCTATTCTCGGAAACTCCCAAATAGCAGACAGGGGGGTCTAGACCCTAAATCCTAAACCCTGAACCCTGACATGGTAGCAGCTGTCGCGGCAATGGAAGTGGCGACGGCAACTACAGTCACACCACGAGCCGCAACGGAGGCAGGGTTTCGGCTTTAGGGTTTAGGGCTTTAGGGTTTAGGGCTTTAGGGCTAGGTTTAGGGCTTTAGGGTTTAGGGCTTAGGATTTATGGTTTAGGGCTTCAGGGTTTAGGGTTTAGGGCTTTAGGGTTTAGGGCTCAGGGCATAGCATAATCGAAACTGACACTGCGTCTGACTGTGCCACATGCATTGTGCCTCATCAGCGGTATCAAAAACTTGACGGCAGGCTTCGGTTAGGAGGAGTGGGATTCAGTGTGTGATGTTGAGGAAGGTTAAGGGCCGAACCTCTTTGAAGTCATGGTTTGGAGCTGACCTTTGAAGTCCACTACGAGAACAACAATGTTAAAAATATCCACAATGATAAATAATGGTAAGAACTATGATGATTTTGACCATGCTGACAATACTAATAATCATAATAACAATCATAATGACATTTGCAATCATGGTCATTGTAATGGTAATGTTAATGCGGTCTACGATTTGAGTTCGGAGTCGACCTCGGGATCAGGTGCTCGTCCTAGTCCGAAAACCGTGAGCCTTGAAGCCAAGTGCCCAGCCCAAACCCAAAACAGTAGGGTTTAGGGCTTGGGGTTTAGGGCTTAGGGCCCAAATCCTGGACCCCAACCGCAACCCAGAAAACCTGAAACCCTGAGCCCTAAGCCTGGACCCTTAATAGTAAGCCAGCATAGATCCCTTAAATTAAAGGAACCCTTTAACTTCCTAAGTCCCCTCTACTAAATCTTTATCATAGCCCTTATCGTTGCCCTTATAGATCCCTTTAAAGGAACCCTTTAGGTTACTAAGTCCCTAGACCCTCCCTAAACCCCTAAACCCAAACCCTAAACCCCTTAAACACTAAACCCTAAACCCTAAGTCCCATGATCCGCCATCAACCCTCAAACCCAGGCTCGCGGCCTGTCGGCCAACACGCGAAAGGCCGGTGTTCCCACCTGGCACTGCTGAGAGTTTTGAGGCTGAACTAAGAGATTCTTACCTTAACGTGAAGGGTTTCGGGGTTTAGGGCTTTAGGGGTTTAGGGTTTAGCGTGTAAGGATTAGGGGTTTAGGGCTTGAGGGCTTACCTTAACCTACCAAGATCTGTTTTTTGTAGGGCCCC